GAGCCTAGAATGTTTTGCATATCCCTGTTACAGTGCAAAAATTCTGAAATTGTTGAATTTTCATTATTATACTTTCAGAGAAAAAGTTGACTTTGGCCAACTATTAGATTTTTTTTAAGTTTTAAAAATGGTGGAAATATGCGCATCGTCTTTTTCCAACATCCACTACTCCTCAAAAAGTGACCCCTGTCATTTTAGTGCACATTTTATGAACAGGATTTGTCCTGTTGTTGTTGCAAAGTTGATACCTACAGCAAATGATTTTCAAGAATAGGCCTAGTACTAGCACAGCGGTTAAGTAAAGAAGCAAACATGAGCTTCTAGTATTGCTCCCACATCAAAGTGAGAGTTAAAGTATAAATATGTGTTGTGCTGTGCACAGAGAACACTTGTTTCTGGATTTTTGAATGTGGTAAAGTAATATTGTGTTACCCCAGAGAGCATCCTGATACTTGGAAGTAGACTTAACGTGAAGTAAGACTCTGTTTTGCTAAGTTCTCTACTAACACCTTAACAAACAATCCCATTATTTTGTTTTCTGTTGAGCTTTATGCTTCGACTTCGGGTTTTGTTTTTTGCTTTTTTTTTTATAGTCATGTTTAGTGTCTTGTTCATGTCATCTGGAGATACTTGTAAATGTGAAGCAACTGCTAGATACATAAAGATATAGCTGGCTCAGAATGTGGCAGATGGACAGTGATGGGCATATCACAATATGCCCTTGTGTCACCCCTGTTTTGTGAGTTGTACTGGTTGCCGGTTGACTTATGGGTATAATTCACAGTGCTGATTATCACCTATAAAGCTCTTCATGGTATAGGGCCTGGTTATCTGAGAGACTATCTCCAAACATTTCTGCCCACTGAGTAAGAATGGGCAGAGTGGGCATGATCTAGGTCCTCCAGTTGAACAGTGTCATCTATCAGGATCTAGAACATGTTGTCTGCTGCGGTACCTGCCCTCTGGAATAGCATCCCACAGAAATCCACATGGCTCCCATCTTGATGGTGTTCTGAAAGTTCTTCAAAACTTGGCTCTGCTCCCAGGCCTGGGAATAGAGTAGCTGCTGAGCCCCTGATATTTTTATTTGGGATGGGATTTTTGCGGGTTTGTGTGTTGTGTTTGTCGTTCCAGACATTCAGAATTTTTCATGATTTTTCCTTTTTGTTGTCTTTTACTTTCAGACATAAGCCTCCCAGTTGTCTGGGCAGCCTTTAAATTTAAATAAATAAATACTGTCCACTTGAAGAAAAACATAGTTTTAAACCATAATATGATCATTTGCTTCTTTTTACCCAAAATATGCTTACATTTAAGTCTGCTTACTCTGGGATACTATGGTAGGAATATGAGTCTTGTTAGTTTACCCTGCAAAAAAACATGAGCACTGGTAACCATCTGGTTTTCGCAGCTGGCACGATTTGCAAGTTTCATTTGTCCTATTATCATAAAAATAGGAAGGAATAAAAATAAGCTGCATTTCCCACTGTCTCCCTTATAATATTGCTACTAGTGCAATATAGTATTAGATGCATCATTAAAAAGTCAGTATTGTGACATCCTTACTGTTAACAGCAGTATAAAATGTTCAGTCAAGTGTCTTGAGGAAATGTTCTTTGCTTGATTAATACAAAGCTCAGTCTTCAGGATTTGAGAATAGGCAGACTAAGGAAGAAATGCAGAAGAGATTATTGTGAAATACTATAACAATCTCCTTTCTTATCTGGTTATACTATGTGTTTAGTATCCATCATAAATACTAGTTTGGGCAGGGACACCCCCCTCCCCCAAGGAGAAAACAAGATGACACAGCGTTTGAGTCAGATACAAAAGTGATAATGAAGCTTGGGATGTTCTTTTCCTGTTCGATGCATCTGAAAATATTTAACAAATAAAATATTTATTTCCTCTATGGGATAAAGGGTGGTGAGACAAGGTATCAGCGTATGAAGACACTTGACTGTACTAGAAAATTGTCTCTAAATTCTGTAATATTTTCTGCACAATATGAATGGATTATTTTTTTTATACTACTTGTGTTGCTTTGTAAAAAATACTGTGTATTATCAAATGCACTGCCATTTTTTACATCTTCATTTCATTTAAGTGCCATTGCTTATGTCTGTATGCTTCTCACTATAGCCATGCTGATGCACTTGAAGCCAAATCAACTTTATAAACTTTGAAGAACACTTTTTTAAAATGGAAAATAATGGACTATGAACAGTTCTGGGTTCAATTCTGTATTGATTATTCTGTACTGGCATTTGTTCGTTTAAATTCAAAAAGACAATTTGGTAAATGATTGAAGTGTCTGTTTTGATGAAAAACACATTTTAATGTTAGTTTGCATTAATTGGCAACATTGATTTCAGAATGAAGATACTCGAATGAAGGTATCATTGAACTGAAAAGAGACACAAGATATGTTGGCATTTTTGTAAAGTGTGATACAATTAATGTTAGTGGTCTTGGAGTAATTCTGAAAATTCCTAGCTATGGTTTTCTAAAAGAAAATGTGTCTCATTGGAAGTTGCTCTTACTGAGCTAGTTCATAATTGTGTATCTATTTGGGATTTTTCTTCAAGACTCTTGGTATATGCTGCAAAACTGTATACACAGCAGTCCAGAGTCTGATAGAGATTCCAGAATAACCTTGGATTATGGTCTGTAAAAATCTGAATTACTACCTACATTGCTATTGAACATTCATCAAGTTTGGTTTCTGTGGACTAAGTTTTATGGTGACTTCATTTTTTCTCCTGCTCCATAAATTTGAAGCTTATCAGCAAATCTACTAATTATCAGTATTAGAGGTTTCCATCAAATATAAAAACAGGGTAATGCACAAATACAATTTTGTATTACCATCTTGTTCTTTATTTTAACTTGTTTTTTTTTAAACATTGTGAGCCACCCCATACTTGTCAGGAGGTACCTAAATTAAAATAATAACAACAACAACTTCAACTCAGAAATTTGCTTATTTTCTTTCTTCAACTTCAATATTCCAGGGAACTCTTGCTTTTACCAACAGTAGTAATGAGTGGAATAATTAATATCCTGTGTCTCTATCTGACATCATTATTAACTTTTTAGTAATGAGAAACTAGCTGTGCTAAGGGTTTTCTTGATAGCAAAATCCAGCTTATTCATTATATTTCCAAGGATAAAATAGCAATTCTTACTAATTGTGTATCAGTCTTTGTAAATTGTTACATTTATATATTCTCCATTCTTCCCTATCCTATGTCAGACTCTGTTTCCTTTGCCAGTATCTTTCATTCACTCTGACCTATCAGTTGAAAATAATTGGTAGTAGCAATCAGTTTTCCTCCTTATCTTTTCACTATTGCAAAGCAGGACTGATGTGCGGGAAGTATCACTGCAAGAAACAGGGATTTAGGGAAGTACTAGCTAATTGCCCTGAGAAGCTGGCAACCACCTTAAAGGACCAGCACGCCTTTGTTCTCTCTTAAAGAACCATACTGTTTAAAACAGAAGAATGTATACCTTGCCTGACAAGATATAGTATGGTCTCTTGAGTTGTCTGAATGCACTGCTTATTCTGGTAGTTCTTGAAAATCAATACCATTTTCTAGTCTGTAATCTGCTATGTTGTTCATCTTGTCTGCATTGATTACAAGTAAAGGTCAATGTTGGAAAAGCTCTTCATAGAATTTAGGAAAAATATTTTATTTTCATAGGATTATTTCAGAGACAGTATTACATATTTAAATGTGAGCATATCACAGAACTAAATAGATATTTCAGGTAACTAACAGCTATTTTTTTAATTCATGGAGATTTCTGTCCTTTTAAATGTCCAAGGATTCCACATAAGAATGGATTCCAATTAGAAGCAGAGAGGGAATCCAGTCTCCTACATCTGCCTAACCAGTAAAGGGGTAGATCATTATTTAAACCATTAGTCAGGAAGACTAAATTTAATTATTAAAATTATTTGTCAGGAAGATTACAAAATCAGGATTTCTAGTAAAAGCCATTCTTTTGTTTAACATAATCTGAATAAATATTCTGCAGTACTAACTTCATTTTTAGAAGGTACTTTGTAAATATTGTTTATGTACTGTATAAGTCAATGAAGGTTCAGATTAATGATTACGAACAAACAGAATTATAATTTTAACACCAACAAGCAGATATATTATTGTAAAGTTGTTAGGAGTTAAACCAATTTCATTTCAGTTAATTGTTGTGGATAATGGCAAGTTATTTGTTTCACGATATTCTAGAAGAATAACTATCATCAGCTTTTATATTCTATAACCTGCAATTCAATGTTCACCGACTACCTTCACACATTTGGATGTTGAAAGAAAGGTATGATGGATTGGGATGAGAAGGTTCAAGGACAGAAGCATCTCCTCAGCTCACAGCTTGAGCATGAGAAAGCGAAGAGGATGAGACTGGCACCACCCTAAGGAATTCATAATGTTTAGTTGCTGGCTTGGGGAGTTTAGAGTTAGTCTGGTGAGATTCTGTCTAGCAGGTGTGAGCTAATAAAGTAATGGATCTTTTCAGTACTGTCTCGTGGAGTTTAACCTGGCAAAAGGTCAGTTGCCCCTCTTAGCTCTGATCTCCTTTTCTCTTACCTCCTTTAAAGAGAGGTCAGTTACATGGACTATTATCTTTCATCTCCACCTCAGCAGATAGACGAATACGGTTAGAAACTATGTTCCTTATATCACTAACTGGTATCTTTTTTATGAAATATTTTAAGAAAAAATATGACTTGTTTTTTCAAGAAAGTCATTGATTCCTATCTGTCTTGGCCAGCAGACAGCATTTAATAACCTTAATGATCCAGAATTGCATCTGGTGTTTTATTGTACCTGATTAAATGCTTTTTATCTATATGTTTACTTCTGGAATTAACTGAATTTCTTAAAGGGGAGATTTTACACACAGCAACACTTTTGAATTCATGTTAGAATTTGGTATTTTCCAATCAATCTCCATTCTCTGTCTCTTTCCAGGGATGCCTGCTGTCTGTAACCCAGGCATGGTACCTGTGGCAGTTCCACCACCTGCAATCAACCCTCAACATGTATGTAATGAAGAGGATCTAAAATCTATCCAGGACATGTTCCCCAACATGGACAGAGAAGTAATCCGTTCAGTACTAGAAGCTCAGAGAGGAAACAAGGATGCTGCTATCAATTCCTTGCTTCAAATTGCAGAAGAGTCTTAGATCCTTCTCACACTACCCTTCATCTTTGTTACCCTTAATTTTGATTTGCCAAGCCAGGGATTTAGTTAGAAGAATTTCCCAAGCAAGCATCCTGTCTGAGAGGCTGTGATCTATTTTTGTCACAGGTGGTCATTGGGATATTGGTTTTTACAGATAACCTTACAGAAATCTCAGCCATTTTATAAATATCGATTCTTCTGTGTCCACATTTCTGTTTGAAAGATAGTGTTGAAATACCTCTGCTACTTCCCCTCCCCCCATTTTTTTGTTTGTTTGCTTTCCAAAACAAACACAAAGATTCTGTTCCTTGGTTCACTTCTATGCATTATGCAGTTGGTAGTCAGGGAGCGGGGGAGTATAAATTGAGGGATGAGGGAGACTGCTGTTCTATAAAGTGCTTTTATTAAAAGCAATCTGTCTCTCTCAAGTAACCCCTTTCTGTGAGACAAAAAGTGATTACACCATGCCCTTTGGCTTGTTCAGTGATATTTGAACATTGAGGCAATTTGTAATACTTCCTACTGTAAGGATACTAGCTTTGTTGTAACTTTCACAGTTATACTAATGAGAGATCACCTTTCAGTCTATTAATTGGGCACCAATGCAATGTATTTATTTTTTTATTTGTTTGATGAAGTGCTGCTGTGCTTCTGAAATTAAAGCATTTCTTTTGCAAGGCATAGCAACATACAAGTAGTCCTTGGGTTACGACCACTCGTTCAGCGACTGTTCAAAGTTATGGCGGTGCTGAACGAGGGGGAATTACAGCCAGTCCTTGAAGTTGCGGCCATCACAGCATCCCCATGATCACATGATTGTGATTCAGGTGCTTGGCAACTGGCTTGCAATTACAATGGTTGCAGTGTCCTGTGGGCACATGATCGCCATTTGCGACCTTCCCACAAGTAAAGTCAATGGGGAAGCTGGCAGGAGGTCACAAATCACTCCG